CACACACACACACTTTTAAGATGGCGATTACGCCCTTGCCAATTAGTTAAAAGCTAAGAAGGCTCAGGGTGGTGGACAAAAGCTGTGTAATGATTAGTTGTATTACTTAACACATTTTGTCTGAATTCCCTGCTGTTTTGATCATTAGTCACTGCTGCACTGTATTGAGGCAGTACCTTTAAAACGTCGATATAACAGGTGTGATTCAGGTCGTTTAGTCAATTCAAACTGGAAAATTCTTCTAAGCCTGTAAAATAAATAAGACAAAGTCATGTAGAAAAGAAAAGAAAACTTTAGAATAAGCATCAGGAGTCAGTTTATTTGTTTTAGGTTTATGTTGCTGTTGTTAGTGATGTCGGGGGAAAATCTATTCGAGTAAAACAGTCTTGTTTTTCCAATAAAAACAAAGTGAAAGTCACCATGTCCTGAATCCAGAAATACTGCAGCGATGTCGCTGTAGATAAAACATCTCACTGGAGGGTTTGTTACTTAAACAGATGGCAGCATCACAAAAACCATCAAAACGTTTTGAAAGGAGTATYTCCTACGTGCATGACAGAGGTAAATAACAAACTAGGTTTATATTTTGTGTTTGTTGGGGGGAAAAAAACATAAATGTCCCRGGGGATTTATGACAAGTACACTTTAGCAAATGCAGCTGCAGCCGTATCAGGTGTCCCAGTTTGTTCTGCACGGACAACAAACATCAGCTCCGTCCCTGAAGACGAACTCATCACTTTGTCATTGTTGATCAACACTAATATTTCATTTTGTTACACATTTAAAGCGCGGTTGTAAAAATATCATATATGTTTTAAAAGTTTGTTTGTGTGTTATGCCTTTTTTCTCATATTTTCCTTAACTTCTATCCTCAGGCCATTCGATGTCTTTATATTAATCGCTATTTTTGCCAACTGCATGGCCTTAGCTGTCTACGTCCCTTTTCCTGAAGATGATTCCAACTCCACAAACCATGACTTGGTGAGCACTTTTTATCAATCATTTAAACTTTATTTGTTTAACACCTGTCACAGAGTCGTGGCCTGCATAAATTAGTTATATTTCATCAGTTTCAGTTTGATGCAAGGACTTATCTTAATAAAAAAAATGACTATTTAAAGTGTTTGTAAGAAGAAAAAAGTGTTTATTTTTGCACGTTTTATGATCAGGACAAAAGTAACGGAACCGTGACTCATTGTTTTAATTTTTTGTCTATGGTTTCTAAGTTACAAAATGTTTTATCCATCAACGTGGTCTTAGTCGATAAAGTTTAAATAAGTTGAAATTCTGCTTAAAGCTTTTCAAGAGAAAGCAAATCTTTGAATGTAGCATTATTCTGCAGAATCACTGCGCCTGCAAAAACAAACTCTGAATCGGTGTTTTATCATCTCACCATTTTCCTATACCAAGATTTTTTTCTTTTTTTTTTCTTTTGATTTAGCTTCTTATTTTTAGAATTTGTTCGTCATTGCACCACTCCATGCACCACCTTGTGCATTTATGTCCGTATGATGAATTGCGGGTGATGTAGTGTTGTAAGCATTCCTCCGCCGTTGAGGATAAGCGCGCTCTTGAAAAGCCAGACAGACACACAGTCTGCGGTGCTTACGAGAGCAAAACTAAGCTGTAGTGTTCAATGATTAATGAGCAGCATGGACCGTGTGTCTGCAGACAGTTGGATGGTTATTGCTGCATTTAAGGGCAGGAAAGTCACGCAGAAAGAGCACGGCTGTTTTCTGTATGTTGCATAGATTACCAGGTTTCGTTAGAGAAAACACAGCATTTGTTAAATGCATATTTGTTGTGCTGCTTTAGTGAAGTGAGGTGTGTTGCTTCACAGTGTGACCTCCTGGAGGGTGACATCTGGGTGTCTGTTTACACATCACTGGTGCATCAGAGAAAACCGGGCCATCTGGGACATTACGGTGTCTGATACATTACTATAAAGTGTGTTGTCAYTTTGAGTTTGTACCGAGTGCAGAAGAGGTCTTTTTTCAAGTATAAAAATAAACCATTTTGATTTATGTTATTGACTTTTATTTAAATCCTTGGGTGAAAATGTCTGTTTCGTTTACATTTATGATAAACCTCCTTCCAGCTGAATTGCAGCTCTGGTTTTTACATTATGTGTATATTGTTGATGAGTACTTACTTATGTCTTTCTCCATTTTTTTTCTTTAAAATGTCTAAATAACTCTTTTTGGAGACATACATCATTTATAAAACCGTAGTTTAGCTTTATTCATTTGAAAATTTATTAAAACTTCCATGTAAAAAAAAAAGCTTTCTCATACATTTCTAAGCCTTTGAATTTTTTTGTTTTTATTTATTGTTGAATGTTTTAACACATTTATTAGGAACAAAATGAAAGCCAAGACTGACCAATCCCAGAACTAAAAAAAACAATAAATTGTTGCAGTGAGAAAGCTTCATTAACAGTGTGATTCAAGGGATTGTTCGAATCTTTTAAAATGGGATTCTGTGAAAAGTTTAAAAACAACTAAGGCCCTGTTTACTCTGGGAGTGGGGAAGCGTGTTTACTTTAATACAGCATTGCTCAGTGAAATTGTTGCAGTCTCAAACCGTGTGAATAGTTACATGCAAAATGGACATTCTTTATGGCCGAGGATGATTTCGGGTTCCCCATGAAAATGGTGAGTGCCACAAACAGCACATTGCTATCTGCCATTGTTATTCGCGTTAAGTTCAGAAATAGTATTGACTGCTGCTGTTTGTAGTGCTCATGCATGTTTTCAAACTGATGCCAGGTTTTTCCAAAAAACCTTCACTCTAAGACCTGGATTCAAAAAGTTTTGGTTTCCGAAAAAACAAGTGCTGGTGTTGTGTACATGTACGGCCAAACCTCAGCAGAAATGCTACGAATTTTTGCTAGCATCTGCTACAGTTTTGCCCCACTTAGACTTTAACTCATTGATCTGGTCAGAATTGTTTTCGCACAAATCAAGGTTGTGATCTACAACAGACCAGACATTAATTGTTGGGGCCTTCTCCGTGGAACCAGACTAAAATTAAAGACAAAACAACATCTTATTGACTGTGTATAAAATGATTTTTGGAAACATAAATGTGAATCTGCTAAATTTGACATTTTGCTTGCAGTAATGCTGTTTGTTTTTTGGTGCCTTGGACAGCTTCACATTGCTTCCATGGAATTTTCCTTTAATTCAGCCATGTCAACACAACATCAACCTACCGCAGGGGGAATAATGCAAGCTTTCCTTTTTTCAGAAGAGGCTGAACAAAAGAATTATTTATAGGGCAGGTGTGTCAGCTTGGTCTTGGTCGCGTTACAGAGTCGTGGCCACAGGAGTAGCTGGAGAGATTAAAATGCTGAGTTGGTTCTGCAAACCAGCAGGTAAGTACGTAGTGGAGACTGTTTTTTCCACACTGCTCTGTTCTGCAGCTATAAAGGAGAACTGAGGGCTGATATGAAACCTGAGCTGGAGTGCTGAGTGGCCTGATGTGTAAAGCAAGGATGAAGTTATGTCACAGAGTAACTGAACCATGCAGTGATAACATGCCATGTATCTTTAAATTCACAGAGACTCTAAAACCTGCATTAGGCTCTCTTGAGTTGCCTTTTTATGCAATGCTTTGAAATTTAGCATACATTGTTTTTTTTTTAATATATAATAAAAGTTGGTTCTCCACTGAGTAGGATGCTGCAGAGCTGCTTCAGCATCATATTGCTGCATAGTCATGGAGGCTTTAATAGCCTYAGTCTGCCTGGCTTGTTAGTGAGGCTTGGTTAAATGCAGCAGCTCTTTATAAATAGAAAGCAATTTCCTCCCCAGGCAGAATAGAGGGCAAAAGATTGGGGTCTTGCTACCACCAGGAGGCACTAGTGAGTAACAGGATGAAGCTAGCGCTCAAATATGCACGTGCACATGTGTAATGACACAGAAAGGGGAAAAAATCCTGTCAAAAAGTCACAGATTTATTCTCAATCATTTCTAGATCATCTCATTTTTGCTCCTCTTTTTCAATTATTTTATTGCAAAAGTACAAAGTACACACAACCTGTCC